CGCGGGACTCGAGGAATGTTCGTGGACACCTTCACACCTTGAGTCCTGAGGGATAAGGTGGTGGGGACTTGAAAGTTTTGACAGGTTATGTTTCCAAGGAAGGGAAATGGAGTCCAGAAGGATACGGTAGAGAAGAGAAGAATCATTAAATGCTTCTGGGGGATTTGAAAGTTCCTGGTAATATGCTTACTTATATTTCCCAGGAAACCGAGACCAGAAGGATAAGGTAGAAGAGGAGAATCGTTCAAGGTTCAAATTTCCAGCATTTCATGGTTCAAGAATTGAGCCCTTTGGGATAGGGTGGAAAGTCCAACTTGAAACTGCTGACAGCTCCTCGTGCACTTGAGGGAGTGGAGTCCTGCAGGACAAGGTAAGAGATATTTGAAAAACGCTTCTGTACACCTTCATACCTCCTGCCATCAAGGACTAGAGGAGGTTGAAGGAGGAGTCATGCTGGGAGGAGAAAAGGAAACTGTTTATAGGTAGTTCTTCGTGAAGTAATGTCCCCCAAGGAATTTAAGTCCTGAAGGATAAAGCGAAGAAGGAGGGTTAGTAAAGTAATTTTGGGTATTAATTTTTATCTGGATCTAAGGTTGGATGTGAAGTACCGAGCGATATACTAGAGAGTAAGAAACTGAAATGTTTTCTAAAATTGGCAATTTTCTATTCTCCTGTCCTCATGTCCTCCTAGGGCAAATGGAGATAGAACTTAACTTATCTTTTCTTTAGCTTAACTTATTAGTGTAACTTGAGAAAGAATATAGATTATGAGACTTCGAAACTACTTTATGGACACCTCCATGTTCTAATACACCCGTACAACCCTGAGGGAAAGGTTTAAGAAGAGAATTGGAAACGTTTATGTTCACCTTCTAACTCTCATACTATAAGAATATACGTGGACTCCTGAGAGTTGAGGTAGATGCAGTAATTGTGTCAATATCAGGTTTAGATGATTCTTGAGGGGAGGAAAGGCATGAAGTATTGGTGTTAATGATTTGGATGCTCAGGTCTTAACCGCAGATCAAGTCAAGTTGGCCGATTTAATCATAATATTTTGATGTGATTTTCTCAATAGGTGACTTTAGTTGGTTATATGATATCTTGTCTTGAAAGGTAGACTCCCCCCCCCCTATAGCAGGTGTTGTGCACGAATACAACTTTCAACCACATCAGATGTTTATTATCCTTCCAAAATAAAGTTATAAATTGTGTACGTTTGATCTAGTTGGCAAAATAAAATTACAAGTAACTTGGTACACTGATTGGTCAAAACAAAAAAGTAAACAAAATATTCCTTAGATTTACAAGTTAGCTTGGTAAAATCGCTTGAAAAAAATTCATAGATTTTTAATTTATACCTGTATGGGGTTTGAATGTGCCCAAGGTGAATGATTGTGTGGGCAAGCACACTTATTTTGATTTTGACGCACATCTTTTGGTAGATCTTTAACAAAACGTTTAACACAACCGTAAAAATACTTAAAACGTACCTCCTCACACCTTTGTCAACTTGATTAATTCTTATTTAAATATCCAAAGCGTCCAGATGTCCACGTTAAAAAATTCCAAAAAAGCAAAAATCCAACAAAAAGGTCAATAAATAACCGATATTTTCACGGCCCTCGAGTTTTATGAGACATCGCGACGGCTTAAGCGAGAAATAAAAAGGTGAAAGGATTACACGGCTATTTGTTATACGGGAAGAAAGAGGAGCAACAGACGAGAGAAGGAGCGGTAAAATGTAGTGTAGGGTTGAATTAACTGTGGGAGCGGTTGAGGCACAAAGCTGGAGACAGGGATGATGGATCGCGGCACCCCCGTGGATATACAGGGTGTCCCAGAGGATCAGCAAGGTAGCAAGGTCTAGAACAAACGTTTGGGCAAAGTTGTAAAGTGTGAAAAGGTAATGTAAAATCACTAAAAAAAATTTAATTAAATGTAACTAATACTATCCAAATAATTGTAAGACGGAAGTTGTAGTTTGTTAATGGTTGTTTAGTCTGTGCTCTGAAAATTAATAACAAACCTAACATAAAATTAATCATATATTAGTTATCAACATGTGTAAGCGACAAAATAAGACCGACAATTATAAGATTCTCAGGGCCTTATTTTTTGCCGTGGATTTTACATCAGATACTTTCTGTGATTTCATGTTACCTTTACTATAGATACAACACCATGAAGACATTCTATTGCATATTTAAATCGTCAAACTTCCAGAGATTTATTTCCCCATGACTTGTCAATAGTATGAACAAGTCAGTAACAGCTAAAGTATTTCCGTAGTTGCACACATGTGCGAGACTTTTTCAACTATGCCCTTTTCAATAAAAATACTTGTTACATCAGGCTCATACAGATGGGATTGACGGGTTGTCTAATCCAGTATCAAAAGTCAATAGTACCTACTACAGTTGACTCCCCCTTATCCGGACACCTTTTAACCCGATGTCGGCTTAACAAAACTGCTTTCGGCAGAAGTGACAATTCTATGATTGGTAAATTTCAGCACATGGGTTTAACCGGACTGGATTGATAGGAAGTGGGTGGAACTGATTACTGAAAATACTTTTCTCATGGGAAGGATTTGAGACCAGCGATCACGAGTCTAAATACAGCGCTCTCCCAAATTTAAGTACGGTTTGGGTTAGTTTTCGAGCGATTCCCGCATTTAATGAATTTTAGAGGACGTCGGTTTAACCGGAAACCTAGTTATCCGCACTGGCCTCGTTGCCGAAGATTCTGGACATGAGGGATTCTACTGTATCCTATATCACAGAACATAACTATAAAGAGGGCAAGCCAATTTGCCTTGCGCAGAATGTGTCCCACAGCTACAAAACATTTTAGGTACTCACGTACTATACCGACCACACCGATAAATCGACTTCCAAATAAGATTTTAATTAGTTTAAATAACAACATCTTCATATCTACCTAACCACCATTATAGGTTATAAATTATTAGGTGTGGTTGGTATAATATCTATGTACCGACCACAAATGGTCTTAAAGACTCATTCCAAACTCAACCTCGACAATTGCTTTCTCAACTCAACACTTCCTGGAGCCAGCTATTAGCTACTGTCAGCCATGTTGAATGCTGAATGCTGAATGTTGAATGTCTGTATTATACATTCTGTCGGTGTTGCCGCAGGTCGCTCGCGATATCCGATATTCTGGGTCAGCTTTACCTAAGAATGGGCGAGAATGCTTGTCAAAAAGTGATAAACAGCCTTGTGTCCGTGACGGTGGTTCGGACAAAGATGACTTATGCATATGTATACCGGAGATGCGTTTGTAACCTTCTCAATTTGTCGTGGCGGTGCCTTTGTGGCGTGTTTACCTGACGGTAGAAAGTCTTCGCCGCGCCGTGACTCGCAACTCGGTGTTTTGATATCTCGATGAAGCCCTTCACTTCGCCGCCATTTTGACAAGTCCGAATTCAATCACGAGTTGTTTTCAATAACATTGGACGGGTTTGTCACATGAACGCGGGTAAAGTTGGGTTTAGATTTGACAATCGAATAGTCAATGATAGCTTTGGGTTTTGGATACTGAGGTACACGTCCCGTCTAAGAACAGCTGTAGCTGTAGTAAATGGTTGATTAGAAATTGTAGCCATACAGTGGCTGAACGAGCCGTACACAGTGCACAGAGAGTGTGTTGTGTTACAGTATAAAATTCTGTTTCTCCTTCATTTGTAATTTCAGTCCCTAAACATAGCATATAGAGAAAATATTGTTATCGTGAAGATTTTAGAGCTTTGGTAGATATATACGTCCACCCCACCCCCCTAAAAAGCCCGTTGAACCTAAAAAAGTGGTTTTCAAAATGATTTCTGTGTTTATGTACGTACTGACCTACAGAGAACACCTGTGGTCCGATTTTAAAGAAATTTGGTATGTAGGTACCGTACTAATGAAGCCTAGTATCTCCAGACGTAGCTTTTCATTTTTTGGAAATTTTTGTTTTAAATGTTGATTTTCCAATAAAATCACATAACATAACATAAAAATAGGATATTTACAAACTCGGCTCAAGCAACTGTGATAAGATTTTAGTATGTTATATTCCTTTTAGTTCTAAAGAAAATGGTACAACCCCCATCACTGTAAAATTACAGTTCAAAAGTTATACATTTTTGTGATTTCAGCAATAAAATATCATATTTACCCACACCACTTGCCCAAGAAAAGGGTAGTTCACAAGCTAATGGGAGAACGTTTGTCAGATTACCAATACTGTACCGTTTATTTATTATGTTATAATTGTTATGTCTACATTGTCACTGGAGACTGAGTAAAAAAAATACATTATGTATTTTTCATACGGCTCTTCAATCATTGACAGAGTTCTCCCATAAGTATATTTTCCACGTTTGTGATATCTTGTTGTGATGAATTTGGACGAACTGCGTGGACGAATTTATGGCTTCTGGGGACATTTATTCGGAAATTTTAATCAGTCCCGTGTCTAGGTCTTTCCGTGCCACCTACTTGTAATAGCTTCTTCCCTGTAGTTCGCTAAAACGATTCATGACTCGAACAGTGCATCGCTTTGTGGTCCCTCTTGGCTTTCAACAATTCTTCAGGAAGAGCTACTATGAGCAAGTCATCGACTAAATGGTTCATGGTAGTAAACTCTGCTTCATCTTCATAAATTGTTGAGGTAGTTTTCGATACTTTAATCTCATTACTTCTGACGATGTATTTGAGATAACAGAAGAAGGGGATTTGTATTAAGTATATCAATTTCAAGAGAATGTCGTTCTCATGGAGTGTGTGTTGTATAACTTTAATTTGAAGAATATCTTTGAAGTAAATTGTAAAGGAAATACGTGTTCGTGATGATTATTCTACTATCGAAGTCTTATAACAATACAGTCGAATGCTCACCATCAGCAGCTTTGACTCTTGTGACAGTTTGGATATAGTTTGTTCAAATAACGAAGGCGATCGTTATTTGAACAAAATATAAGATGCTAGACTTACTTGGCATAATCCGCCTTGCAGTAGACAGAGTCGTCCTTGATAAAGCAGGAGGGCTGGCGATCTAAAGCCAGCTGACAGACGCAGCAGCGCAGACAGTGAGCGTGCCAGGACCTTCCATTGACCTGAAGAAGGTACTTGTCTGTGATGGGCTCTGAGCACGCGGCGCACATCCGCTGCTCTGTCTGTAACAAGGGAATGAATGAATAACAATTCCTTCATTCCAACAAGCTTCAACAGGGAGGTTAGTTGCGTGAAGAAAAAGAGGCGACGAGAGAGTGAAGAAAATGAAGAAGGGAGGAATATTACGAGCTGGAGGAAGAATCAAGGACGAGCTGAAGAATGAGATGAGGAAAATGGTAAAATTTGCAAATGGTAGGATGGATGAGTTGCTTTAAGAGATAAACTTGACAAGAGAGGCAACGAAGCTGAAGGAGGAACAAGTATGACGAGCTAGCAGAGGAATAAGGGAGTAGTCATTAATAAGGTGATGAAAGAGAGTCAAACTTATGGAAGGTAGTTGACTTAGGTAAAGGAAGGTAGGTATTTGAGTAGCTGAGGAAGAAATAAATGACACGTCTTTGAATAATGATATAAGAACATAATGCGCAAAAAGCAAAAGGGAGTTGAGTTGCGTAAAGAGAGATATGAGGCTAGGGATTGAAAGAAGCTGGATGAAGAAGGGATATCAAGAGCTGCAGAAGGATTACAGGGAGAATATCTGAAGAATGAGAGGGAAGAGGGACAAATGAGCACGAACAATCCATTAAAACATAGAAGGAGTAGTAAAGCTTTTGGAACGAGTGAGTTTGAATATTTATGGAGTTGAGAGGATATTACAAGGCAAACATGAAACGAAAGAAGAATTTTTGGTGACAAGATTACGTAAAAAAATTGAGTTTTGAAAATTAGAGGAAAGTAACTAAGGCGAAGAATTGTATTAGAATGTTTGGAAGAGATGGATAATAATTTTGCTTAAGTGCAAGGAATGAGAAAGGGGTCTCTGTTGAAAATGCGATTGAAAGTTTTGATGCACCGTTTGGGTAATTTATCGGTTAAAGAATGTGGTAGACATAAAGTAGACAAGAAGGATCTAGGGGTTGTAACGATCGGCTACAAAGTTCCCCGCATCCTGTTGCAATACACAAGTTCCACGCGCCACCGTAGTCTCCGGTAGGCGCGGATCGAAGGTCATCCGAGGACCATTACTCATTTGGCGAGAGCAATTAACCGCCGTAGCGCGATCTGACGAGATACGCCACCACTACAAATCACCACGTGTTGTAAACCACGGTGCTTCTATTTACATTTGATCAGCCGTATGAATGGAGTGGCTTGTGAGAGGTTAAGCATTTATGACATTTTTCAACTTCTTTCTGTAGTACCAATGTGAAATATCAATGTTATTCAATGGGAATGGATAAGAAATGTGGCAGTTCTTTCTGATTATACTGTAATCTTGAACCAATATCTTCAACAAATCATTGACTTGACCCATTTCTATATAGTTTCCTCCATATAATTTCGATTAACTAGATGCACCCTAATGGACCAAAAGACGTTTTGATTTGATAATTACCATAGTTTGTAAATATCTTTTTATCTATTAGTCAAGAAATCGTGCAATAATGCTTGAAATTTAAAACTAAAAGTTGTATGATTATTTCCAACTAAATACAATACGTGTATTATGTTTTCTATGGAAGATGTGGTAAAAGCCTGAAAGCCTAGTGTTGGATGCGTAACTAAGTAACTACGACGTTAGTGGAGCGAGCTGGTCTAGTGGTTTGAGCGCGGGACTTCGGTCCCTTGGTTCAAATGCCACCAAAAGCACCTATGGATTTTATCTAGAAATGATAATGCAGTGATCTCTATATCTAGCCTAAAGTAATGCGAAAAAACAATTCCGGGCTCGTGCCTTGCAAATCAATTGCTCCTGAATCTCATCTTGCTTCCTGTAAAGCAAACATCCCAAGCCTAGTAACTACAAGCACTCCTCTCTAAGAAAGAAATTGATTGAGAACCCATCAGAGTGAGACACGGAGAAATTGTGCGAAGATAATTAAGTTCTCAGCCAGAACTACCAAAGGTCAGAGTTGGACTGGTTGAGATGTTGCTCCGGATCGACGGAAGGTCAGAATTCAATCAGGAAGTTTGGCAATTCAATTACAGGAACATGACAGGTGTTCTGGAGCGCTCGTAAATCACCTCATGGGATCCTGGGACCAGCGGAGAGATCCATCATCTCCGCCAACAACAGGGAAGATAAATTAGTTCACAAACCGTTCTAGACTTTCTGCTTGTTTAGAAGTCATGGGGTGTCGATCATAAGAATTGTATGGCTTGGGAATACATCCCAACATTTCGTTGAAAAGTCATCCTGTCAATACGTCAAGAAAATTTGAAATAAAACACTGGTTTTACAGAAGAAACTGAAGAAAGCAATACATAATTCCACCAACAACGAGGGAGATAAATTACAATCGTACTACTAGACGTAATGTTTGTTAGTCATGGTATGTCTATAAAAAAAAACTTGGGAATACACTGTACAGCCTCATAAGAAGGTCATACTGTAAAGATGAAAGTGCGGAGGGAAGTCGGAAGAAAACTTTAAAATACTTTTGTTTTTTAAGAACGTATAAAATAGTCCAAATCTTATACTTTAGTCTAAATGCCTCTTAGGATGTCAATATAACAGTTCTTGTAGGAAGCAGGAAAATTCTTTGATAAACATGAGTCTGTGTTGAGTAAATTTGAGGTTAAGTTTGCAATATGGCTTGTATTTTGATAGTTTTTTTAAGACAATTTTGTTAGTTTAGTTTTAATTCCTGCAATAGTTTAAACAAAAGTACCTTTAAATCTACAGTATTACTCTTTTCCACTAACGTTTCTGAGCCAGATTCAGACTGTCAAACTAAAACTGGGTAGGGTCAAGATTTTTTGCAAAACCTCAGATTGCCTTAAAAGGCTCTTACCTGCCTCAAAGGATTTACTTCAACCTCAAGTAAATATTACAACCCACTTGACTGCCGAATTTTCTATGTAAACTGTAATTTACTTCTTGATAAATCATCCGACATTCCGACACGTTTAGGGGAAAAAACAGCATGAGGCTACCCGTGAGGTCCGAACTGCGAACGGCGAAAGTCCCTTGGAATTTTAAGTATGTTATAAATAATAATACGTATAAATCCGGCACCGGACGAGTATCGATATAAAAGTGGAGAGCGCTGCGGGGCGTCCGCGACGACGTACTAGATGCTAGCGGCACGATGAAATCCCCGTGAGCTACAACCCTGCCCGTGTCATTACAAGCAACATATGTTTCAGTCGCTGCTATATTTATGACCACCGGTCCCGCGTTCGCACCCGTACCCTATCTGGACTAGTCGCCACCCCGGTAAACGTCACATAAGGTGATTCATGGTGGCGATCGAGGATCGAGTCGTCCACACCAAGACGATGGTAGTTCAGAAATTTGTAAGTCTAGTGGCATTTCAACAAACCGCCAGTTGCTAAGATAAATGGTGATCCAAGACAAAAGAGGTATAGTCCAGGACCTGACTAGGGTTCTGTGTGCATGTCGTGTATAGTGAATTTTACTTTTGCATTTCAATATAGGTGTCTTAGGAAGTGTTTTCCACTCGGGTGTCAAGTTCGCACCTGGTACGTTTTCGAGCTATGACGTCATCAAGATGGCGGCTCAGCAATTTTTGAATGCGTATATTTCGCGAACCGTTTAATGGATCAGGATGATTTATTTTTTGTTTGAAAGATATTTTTACACCCTATCTTTCTTGTATTTACACTTTTGTTGTAAACTTAATATTTATCTCACTATATTAAAAAACGTGTTTTTTATTATTATTATATTTATTGTTTTGCTTATAACTTCTTAACCGCTGATAAAATCAAATACCACCCATTGCAAAAGTTGCAGATGATTCTATACCCTTTCCAATGATACCAAACAATATGTGATTAGACCTAAAGATAAAGCAAAGAGATTGAATAAATCGTAAACGAACACTGAAAGTGGTGTACGTTCCGGGAAAGATTTAGTCCTGGACATGACTAGAATTCTGTGTGCATGTCGTGTATAGAGAATTTTGCTTTTGCATTTCAATATAGGTGTCTTAGGAAGTGTTTTCCACTCGGGTGTCAAGTTCGCACCTGGTACGTTTTCGAGCTATGACGTCATCAAAATGGCGGCCATTGATTTTTTTAAATCGTATATTTCGCAAACTATTTGTCGGATCGGAATGAATGTTTTTTTGTTTGAAAGATAATTTTAAATGCTACCTGTTTTACATTTACACATTTGTTGTATGTTTAGTACATTCTTCGTAATTTTGCAAAAACCTGTATTTTTAAATATTTTTGAGTTGTTTTTGTTTGTAACGTTTTATTGATACAATTTATCAAAAACCACCAATGAAAAAAGTTGTAGAACATTTAAAAATCTTTACAAAAATACCAAATTCGATATGTTTTACTCAAAAGATTACGTCAAGAAACTAGATAAATCTCATAAAAACACCAATTTTGGCGCAAAAACGCCTATTAGTCCGGCCTCTAGGGCAGTTCGCAAGTCTTATAAAAACAGTTTCGCCATTCAATGTTGATGTACGTGTCTAAATAAGGGTTTTCAACTCGGGTGTCACGTCTGCACCCACTGCAGTTTCCGGTTATGACGTCATTAAAATGGCGGAAAGGGCTATATTAAAAATAACGATATTTTACATACCATGTATTGGATCGGAATGAACTTTTTTTTGTTTGAAAGATAAGTTTACATGCTATCTTTCTTACATTTGCACTTTTGTTTTATGTTTAGTACATTGTTCGTAATTTTGCAAAAACCTATATTTTTAAACATTTTTGTGTTATGTTTGTCGATAACGTTTTATTGATACAATATATCAGAAATAACTTAAAAACAAAGTTGTAGCACGTTAAAAGAGCTTTACAAAAATACCAAATTCGATATGCTTTACTCAAAAGATCACGTCAAGAAACTAGAAAATCGTACAAAACAACCTAATTTTGCGCAAAAACGCATATAAATCTCAATCCATGCAAATGGAAATTCGCTTAGTCGAAAGGATTGCTGCACCGGGGGTATTTATATAGTGGAAACATTCCTATGGACTAATTACATTAATTTGTTGTGCTTTTATTT